CGTTTACTGATAAAACCAGCTGTTCGTCTGCCGCGCTCTGCTCCAGTCCTCGGCGATGTCGGATTGTCTGGCGCAGCTCGCACTCCCGCCTGCCCAGGATTCCTCCAGTCGCACATTCATTTCCATTTTCGTCCAGCCGGACCTTCTTCAGGACCCTCTCGGCACCTGAAAGCATTTTCTATCAGATCGGGCGAGAAGTTCGGGTAAATAATACACGGACGTGTGTGGATATATACTATGACAGATTTTTGAGGTTATGTGGAGACAGCCAGCACGTGACACAGTGAGCATTATGACAACTCGAATTTTTGATAAATTCGTAAGTTTGAAATAAAAAACAGCAGGTTTTGCATTTAGAGAACCAGAAACGTACCCAAAAGGACAACCTTCCCTTGTCTGGGAACATCCTTTGTCCATGACACCGTGACAGCCGTGCCCGGCGCAATGTTAGCCAGGCCTGATGTGATTTTTTTCTGATGTACCACGTCGGCACAGGGCTCAGGACAATCTTGCCAGAGGACCAGCACAAATTTGGTAACTCGCGGTCCACGGGGTGGCCCGCGAAGTCGACGACCCCTCGTAGCAGGAGGCATCTTACAATCACACAATAAATACGGTCTCTGATACACACGTGGGATAGGTCAAGGCCGGGATGTAAACATCGTACACATCACATTTTGAAAAATGGTGAATGGCCAATTTCAACAACCTTAAAAGTTTGTACACTTACGAGTAATGCTGAGATGAAGATGCGGCGACAAAAATTTTTGATTTGCGTGAAGAGAGGATCACTACCGGCGCGCGCAAACAATACACTGAACTGCGCTCAGCCCGCTGCGCGGGGCGGGGGTTAGAGCGGCTGACAGGCACGACAATGTTGGCTTCCTGGCCTGCGCCCGAGAACGTTTGAGTGCGATCGGCGCAAGGCATTGTTTACCCGTGTGGCCGGCCAGTGAAAAGTGCAGCTTTGAAATCTGTTGAACCCGATTGAATGCTTTGAGGGTGATTTAATTTAAACACATTTTGTGAACGGTGGGAGAAGTATGTCGAAACGACCAAGACTTGGTGGTGGTTGTGGCCGCAGTGATGCGTCAGTTGAGTAAGTAATCTTCCTAATGTGACATAACCTACGTTCTGAACGTTCTTTCCATAGTTTAACAAAAATACTTCACGGTAAACAATCAATTTCGATATAATTTTTGATTCCTTTTTCTATCATAACCTTTGTGAGTCGTAATGTTTTACTTTGTAAATATTTCAACCCTGTGTAATTTTTATGTTTTTGTTTAACAGAGAGAGTGATGAACATCCTCCACCCCTGTCTCCACCACTGCACCACATTCCTCTCCCTGATGTTGACACTTCATTGTCAAGTCAACCTGGGTTTGACCCTATCGGCTCAACAGCACCCCTAGGTATTGTTCTGCAGCATGCACCTTAAAAAAAATAATTGTCATGGTTTGGGTATAGCATAGCGGCCTTTAATATTATGGCGTTATTTTATTATGTTTGACATAGATCTTGCTGAGCCGTGCTGGCTGCCTCCCCCATTTCAGCATATGGAGTCTCCCACCTCCCAGCTATCGGACATGGGACACGTAACGCCTGCCTTTCCAGATTTTGATCAAATTCCTTCACCAGAAGTTGTTGAGCGGGATGTAATGAGTCTAGATGTTTCTTCAAGTGTAACTTCTTATGATGGTGAGTTAACCTGTATTGTGTTGTTTTTAGTATACAAACATGGTTTGAAGATTAATTGTTTTTTGTTTTTTGTAGAAGTCCGCTTTGACACTGATGTTGAAAACGTTATTCAGCCTACTGAAATTGCAATGGACTCAACACTTGCCTCAAGTTCTTTAACTATGGATATGAATGGTAAGCTCACTTTGTAATCAAGTTGGTTGGTAAAGACATTTTATTTAATGG